AAATAGCTTTTACACATTTTCTCTCTTATTACATCGGATAATACTGGTGATATTTAGACCTGATTTTTCAAACTACCGGCATTGAAGGTGACGCGTTACGTGGACAAGCCGATATACATATACTAAACAATAACCAATCACGGAGCCTATCTCATGTTCAAATACAAAATAAACAATATTTGATGCATTCATTATTCCTTATCTGAAAATGAACAACTATTGACTATCTGGCACCTAACAAATGTAAAATGTCTTTGTTAAAGCATATCTATCTGACTTTCTTTTAACGTTCATATAAATTATTCAAAGCTGAATGGAAAGAAACTAGGAAAGTATTAATTTAGCGAATAATACATTATTAATTTGAATAAAATACTGTAATCTTAATTGATTCAGAAATTCCAATGATATTATTCTTGATGAGCGTGTGGATGTGAGCGTGAGTGGGAAAAGTCACTCATACCCACACTCACTTTTCGCTCTCTAAAAAGTTGGCGAAACAAGTTTTGGAATTTTTCATTGATTTTAAAATAGTGAGCAATAATAAACGAGCACGACATAAGACAGGTTAAATAGACTCAGAGTCAGGCTTCAAGACGATATCGATTGACGCTTTAAGACTGTCCACAATCAAGACAAGCTCCTCTTCGGTGATCGTATACGGTGGAGCGATGAGAATGTGGTCTCCACTAATGCCGTCGAATGTACCCTTCGAACAAGGATAGAGAGCAGCTGGAAAAAAAAGGAACAGAGTGAATATGATTTAAAAGAACACAGTATCACTCACCTCCACGTTTCATGCACTCATTGGCAATGGAATTGACAAAGAGAAAGGTAGATGGATACATCTCTTTTGTTAGCTTATTTTTGACGAATTCGACTGCCCAGAACAAGCCACAACCGCTGAAGAATGACAAAAGAAAGTGTAAAGTATTTAATTTCCGAAGAATGAAATTGTGATGACACATAGTATTAAATGCAGGACTCAGGAAAAAAGTTGAGAACCTAGTTACGTTATATGTAAGTGTTTAAATTTTGTAACATTAGATGCCTTAAGTGCTTTCTCTAAAATAGAGTCAGACGGATGACAACAAACACACACGACATGGAATCTTGGAGATAAGAACGAAACATCTGCCACTAAATAGAAAGTACTGTATGAAATTGCCATTGCTAGAATATCCTAGATCTTTGTTAATGATCAGATCGATTTCATTGGACCCCTTTTTCGTGACTTGTCTCTATCCATTGCTTTTCGCCGTCTATATTCCTAGAAAAGAATTATATTCGCTAACCGAATATCTCCAATATGTGGATGATCGCCCAACTGTGTTTTGAGTAATTTTTCTAAGAAGATTCCACGCTGATGACATTGTTCTACGAGCGCATCTTCTTTGATCACTTTTAGAACTTCTAAGGTCGCTCGACATGCAACGGGATGTAACTGATACGAGTATATATTGTTAAATTCGCCCGAACCAGCAGATAAAGTATCAACAACTTTGGCAGAAACAAGCACAGCTCCAATAGGAGCATAGCCACCAGCGAGACCCTTTCCATTGACTTGAATATCAGGTGGAGATGAAAGATTTTCCCATTGCCATGCGTGCATTTTGCCTGTTCGTCCAATGCCGCACATGATTTCATCGAGAACAAACAGGACTCCATACCTATCACATACTTCACGCATCGCGTTGAAATAACCCGGCACTGCTGGAGTGCAACCACTTGTGGAACCGACAACTGAAGATGAAAAGACTAACTATTTTGTATACTAAAATGGTTTAGTGTTTACGCACCTGTCTCTGCGAAGAAAGCAGCCACCGTTTCGGGCCCAAGTTCTTGAAACTTGGCTTCCAACTCATCGGCAAGACGCTTCACATAGGTCTCGTTCGATTCGTCGACTAACTTGTAACGATAGGCAAAACAAGGCGAAACATGATGGAAATGAGACGAGAATAACGGTGAAAAGGGAGCACAACGTAAATTGTGGCTACTGAGGCCAAGTGCTCCAAGTGAATTGCCATGGTAACTCTGTTGACGAGCAATAAAGTTAACTCTTTGAGGTTGCTTATTTTCCAAGTGATACTGTCTGATCAGTTTAATTGCCGATTCTACGGCTTCCTGTTAAAAACGAATCATATACATAGTTTAACATTTTATCAATCTGGATGTCTTACGGATCCACTATTGACGAGCAGAGCTCGTTTCATGCCACTTCCTTTGATGAGCTCGTCGGCTAACTCTTCAGCTGCCTAAGTGAACGAATAAACAGCAGAATTAATAAACTGTTTATCGATTACACTGACGTAAACAGATATGGTCTTGGATAAATCATACAGTGTTGTGATGAACCAATATGATGAATCCTTTATACCTCTCAATTTCTCTGATATTCTTTTCAATAAAAATGTTGTAATCAAATGTATTCTTTATTGTTGGAAACAAATTAAAAAAAAAAGCGAATCAACGTTAATCCTACATTCGTGTATTAATAAATCAAAAAAGCATTAATCACACATGTAATAATTCTCTTCCACATATTCCTAGTATTAGGAAGTGTTTGACAAATTTCTGTTCCGCCAAACGGAAGAAAGACGTACTGCTCGTGAAAACAGAAATCTTATGGAAAAAGTTCATTTTCTTTCAAAATAGTTGATTAGAATGATTAGTTTCTTTTGTTTTATTAAAAGTACACTAATGAATTAAATCTATAACATTTTGCCAGAAGGAACTACAGCTTTCAGAAAACAATCTTAGTTTTTCTATGGATAAGCTCTTAAAAGATATCGTCATCTTCAACACAACATATTTTGCTCAATAAATTTTATGCTGTGTAGAAACATGTCACAAGCACAATTGAACACTTTTAACATAAAAAAAACTAATGAATAAAAAATAAGATATCATTAGGCATGGACAAATGACATTTGTTTTAATCCGAGTCTCTATTCTGAAATCCTAGTAAAAATTATTTGTTCGAACGGAAATCTTGTGTGCATTTATCAGTAATTGGTGCGTTATATTCTAGTATAAGTATCGAATGTTTCTTTCAGCTTAAACAGGCAACGTTTTTCACTGTTCTGCTCGTAAATTGATCTGAACAGTGACTTATTTTGTGGAGGGCTTTTTGTTAATCATGAATATCAATACTTTTGCTGTCCGCATTGTTACTCAAAAAGCTAACAAATTCATATTAGTTCGCGTTCTGCAGTAAATTTGTCATGTTCGTGGAACATGATCAAGAAGTCACATGTGTTTCAAAGTCGTTGCAAAAATATAGCTTGACAAAATGATTATTTCAGTAAAAATGTATTTATGTTTGAACCAAAAACATAAATGGGTCACAATTCAAATATTGACACACAGGTAAAAATGTTTTATCAATTCAGTATTCCCACGCTGACTCTATCATTTTTTTAGTCAAGTCCAAAACTTCTATCTTACTCAAATGATGAAGAAAACATTCTTTTTAAAAACATGATATTTTCGAATTAGTTTTTGGACGCTTCATTTTTTGCTCATTTTCCGTGTTCATATCCAATGTGCCGAAAAATGAAGTCGCACAATGGCATGCGTGTGAGAGAAGTACTATTGCTTGCGTGTTACTACTCTGAGTATTAATCACGCTCTGCTGAAGGAACATTATATCAAAAAATGTTTCGAAGTCGATTGCTTTCCATCTTTATAAGTAGAGAGAACATCCTATCTAATAATATGTCCTTAGTTCAATTGATAGGATTTATCTACAGCGAAAATTTTTATGCATAATCTTTGTTTTCAATTGTGTTTTAGTGAATATCACTGCATGTACTCTATGTTATAGAAAATATAATTTACGTTAATGTAGTTTTAGCAACAATTAAAATGCTTCAAAAACTGTGATCGAACAAGGAAACAAAGTTGAACGTTTAATCTTACTTTGCTAGTAAACGTTGTACATAGTACATAGTTAACAGTCTGCAATTGATCGAAAATACCTTCAGCGACACGTTTATTGCCATAACCAATTGTCGTTACACCAGAGCCAACACCACCATCAAGAAGTTTGCGTCCATCTTTGGTATAGATATAATTGCCTTCTGCGCGAACAGCGTACAATGGTTCATGGTTAAGACGACGATGAAAAACATTTGATGAGACCGTATTTGTTGTTGAATGAACTAGTGACATGGAAGTCATGAGGGAACGATAGAAGAAATGTTTGCTTGTTTTTTTGTTCTCTTCTCGTGCTTTGTTACAAAATTTATTCAATTACTTTCAAGATAAATATTATCAAACTCACATTACCATCCAATGCTTACTACACTGTGCTTATGGTGAATGCTGCAAAAGTAGTCACGGAGATAAGAAAAGTTTATGTGTACTTTGTCATTTAAGATATCTTTTGTTGTTTTTTTGCTCTAGTAATGGACTGCTACATGAAAGCTGCCCACTATGTGTATGTCATTCTGATATCTAATGAGAAAATTTTATGTTATCTTTTCATGTTTCTAACACCAAGCAATGCTCCGAGAAGAAATAAAGTCGTTTAACACTAAAAAAATCGAAGTGTTCTTTTGACTACAAGAGAACGCTGGTCATAAAACTAGAGTGTGGGTCTTCTTTTTCCACACCTACACTCACAATCTTTAGATCTTAAGTGTATGCAAAAATGACCACCTTCAGAATTTTCTATATGGTAAATAATCCAACGAATATTTCGATTATCTTTTGCTTTCTTTACCTGCATGGAAACAAAATCTGGTATATACTCTTATTCGAACATCGTATTTAAAGTTTAGATAAGGAGGGTGTGAGTATGGATGTGTAGAAAGAGAATACTCTCACACCCATACCCTATAATCAATATGCTAAAATTATTCTCAAATAGACGAGCTGAAAAAGCTCTTACACATTAGACCAAATTCACTGTGATATGATAAATACACACGGACATAGGAAATTACCCTTGGATAATATCATTCCATAGAAAAGTTTTTGATGTGCTCTCTATAAAAATAGCATGTACTTTTCTTTTGGTAAGTCAGCTGGTAAATAATCCAAGTAATTTTCGTGACATGCTCATATCAAATAATTCGATTACAAGTTCCATATGCCAAAGGCGGGATCAAATCAAGGGGGAAACGGCGGACTTTTGTACTTCAAGTAACTTTGGCTACGTTAAAGTACTTTACGCTACTTTACGCTACTTCACGTTACTTTAAGCTACTTCAAGCTACTTTGAATACTTTGAAGCACTTCAAACTACTGTAAGTTCCGTTAAAGCACTTTAAGACACTGCAACAAGGTTTTTAATATAACAGGCATTCAAAGTAAACCACTGTTGATTACTATAGAGGTCGCTCAGTCGATATCCTCCGATTTGACTCATTTTAATATATGTGACAATCCACGTAAGCCACGACCGAAAGTGCACAATTCATGTCGTCGGATTCCGCTCCTTTTCATATATGTGACACAGGCAAGGGTTTGATGTATTTTGGTGAAAACCGATTCAAAAAATATGGAACCGTTGGCTTTTTATTGGAGTTTCACGAAGAACCCTAGAAAATTCTACTT